ATAAGGACTATTATATTATTCATTATAGAAATCTACAACAATGTATAAAGGAAGGATATGTTCTTGAAAAAGTATATTGAATTCTAGGTTTCGAAAAATCATCATAGTTAGAACTATATATTACAATGAATACTCAATGACATGCAAAAGCAAAGAATGCCTTTGAAAAAGATTTCTAGAAATTGATGAACAACTCAGTTTTCAGAAAAACTATAGAAGATATTAGAAAACGGGTAAATATTGATTTAGTTAGGCAAGTAGGAAAAGAATGTAAATTACGAAGACTAATTTCAGATCTAGCATTTGTTAGACAAAAAATTTTCTATGGGGCAAACTTAGTAGCTGTGCATCGAAGACAGACTAATGTAAAACTAAATAAGCCAGAATATATGGAGACATGTATTCTTGATCTTTCTAAATACTTTATGTATGACTTCTGGTATGGTCATCTCAAAAAGAAATATGGAGATCGAGTAAGGCTTTTATATACAGATACAGATTCTTTAATTATAGAAATTGAAACCAAAAATATTTATCAGGACATGATCGATAATTGTGATTTATATGATTTTAGTGACTATTCAGAAGATCATTGGCTAGTAAAAAATCTTCCAGAAGATCAGTGGATAATCAATAAAGAAGGTAAGTATGTCTTAAAAAATACTAAAGTTATAGGTAAGTGGAAGGATAAAAATAGGGGAAATCGAGCTATTGGCTATGCAGGAGTTTATGCAAAATGCTATAGTATTGTGTATGAAAATTCAGGAAAAAATATAGTACGTATAATATGTTGATATGTATAATTGTATAACGTTCTAAATTATCATATTAAAACTATTTTAATGATATAAATAAACGAATTAATTCATTTAAGTTCTTATAAATACAAATTTTATTTTGCTAATAAAATTTCTAAAAAACAAAAACAACTATATCAGAATCAGATATTCAATATAAGAATTTGCAAACTGAAAGTAGCTTTGAAACTGATGATATTGATTTAGCAGAAAGTGTACTAACTGAACAAATTAATGAATTAACAAACGCTAGTAAAGAAAATGTACTTAGCTCAGTTTCACTTAATTCACAAGAGGCTTCTT